CCAAGGCCGCCTGTCCCGGGGGACACTGCCAGGGCCAGGTTGCCGGGACGAGAAGGGAGCATGGCCGCTCCGGAACCTGCCCCAGGAGCGTTTCGGAGGGGAAGGGAGAGGAGATGGTGGCTGAAATCTATCGTGTTTCTGGTAGAAGAGATTTGGCATTCCTGGCAGGGCACCAGCCGCTAATTTGACTGCAGCCGGACCCCTCTCCTCCACCTGGGATGTTTGCCGCCGGAGGCAACCAATCTTCCCGGGCACTGTGTCACGGCACTCGGCCCCGAACTCAGGAAGCCTAAAGCATCCCCCTTCCTTCAGCCTCTGTGCAGTGCAAAGACCTGAGGCTTCCCGAGAATCCCGCAGGCCAGGAATGGGCTCCGTCCCTCAGCGAGTGAGGAAACAGCCATCGATAAGGGGAATGGGGGGGCCCTGCTTCTCCCGGCTGCTGCTTCTCTGCCCGGAGCTGTGGGCGGCCGAGCCGAGGGACACGTGTTGGATGCTGCTCCCGTCCGACATGCACAGCTGCCTCCGAGGGAGGGAGCCCCAGGTGCCCGGCTGCCCCCTCAGCTCTCCCGGGCACGGGAGGGGTGCAGAGGCTGAGGAAGAGCTCGCCCCAGCGCCCTCCCACCTCTCCGTATTTCCCCAAAGAGAGCCCTACCTCCGCCAGCTTGGAGCTCCTCTCCTTCGGGGTACTGCCGCGCGGTTTCCCCCTCACGGGCAGCCCTCTCACCGTAGCCAGGAAAGTTGTCAGGAAGACGAATCCGAGGATGAGCACGACCTTCCCTCTAATCAGACGCATCTCTCCCTTCCTCTCTCCCCACCTCGCACGTCCAGGGCAGGCGGTCTGGCAGCACGCCCGCCCTTAATGCTCCAAATCCTGTCCTCCGAGAGGAGCAGTAAAAACGTAGAAATATATGTATCTGATATATATATAAGCCACCGGAGCCGGGAACTGCGGTGTCCCGCAGGCAGGGGCCGGGCAGGGTCCGCCGGCCCGGGCCACTCCGCTCCCTCTGATCGCTCTTGCAGTTTGCCGAGCACCTTCCGCTGTCGCGGCTCCCGCGGGTCGCCCACCGGTACTGATGCTGAAGGGTGACTCTGAAAAGCTTCACAAATGTGTGCGGGGAGGGAGGGAGGGAGAGAGCTTCGGCTCCCCACCCCACTTCCTAATCCTTTCGGCAATCCGATTTCTTTTCCTCCTCTTCTCCTCCCCTCTCCGAGTCACTCCCGGTGCTGCCGCCGCTCTGCAGGCAGCG